GTAGTAGTAGCTGATACTTCTAATACTTTGAGTGCACATCATACCTCATCATACACATCATACTTGATCTAAGATAATTTTTTTAAAATGTGTTTTATTAATTTTAATGAACATTTACAGAGATATTTGGATTTCCATTCATTCATTGTTGCATTTTTCTCCCTGCCCACTCCTTCCCCCCAGTTCGCTCTTCTCTTAGAAAAGTAAAATTGCCCTGAGTACACTCCACTATGCAACCTATACTCAGGACGATTGTCATAATCATAACACTCAATCATATATTGCTTTAAAACTGTTCTTTCCCTAATTTAAGATCTTAATAGATACCTTATTTATTTCTCACAACTTTATGTAGTAGGTACTCTGACAATTCTTATTTTACAAATCAGTGAGTTGGCTCTTTAGGATAAGTTGTTGTTATTGTTGTTATGTGCCGTCGAGTTGTTTGCGACTCATAGCGACCCTATGTACAACAGCCCTAAACCCTGCTCTATCCTGTGCCAGTCGCACTGCCTCTGACACACCCATCCCTATCTCCCCAGTCACTGAATCAATCCACCTCATAGAGGGTCTTCCCCTCCTGCGCTGTCCCTCTACTTTACCCAGCATGATGTCCCTCTCTAAAGACCTGTCTCTCCTTATAACATGTTCAAAGTATGTCAGGCGAAGCCCCAGAATCCTTACCTCCAAGGAGCAGCCTGGTTTAACCCTCTCTAGGATGATTCTGTTTGTTTTCTTGGCAGTCCATGGTACATTCAATACTCATCTCCAGCACCACAGCTCAAAGGCATCAATTCTCCTTCTATCCTCCCTAGTCATTGTCCAACTCTCTGATGCATAACAAGTGATTGCAAAAATCATGGCCTGTATCAGGCGCACCTTAGTCTCCAGAGAGACACCTTGTTTAAATTTACAGAACTAGTAGTCACGAGAGCTGGAGTTTGAGACTCTGCAGTCTGAAGTCAGTTCTTGCTATTATGATGCTATTTATCCTTGCCACACTCTAATGTCAATAAAACATAGTTACATTGTTCATTATTGTGCACTGTTGTGTGAAAAACTGTGGGATCTTTTGGGGGAAAGTTGAGACTAGAGAAGTGAAGATACAGGGCAGAGCAGAAATGCCCAATAGTTTTCAAGGCTATAGTCTTTATGAGAGAAGATTACCAGGATTTTCTCCCACACTGACAATGGTTTCAAACTACTGATCATTTAGTTAGCAGCTGAGTGCTTAAATATTATGTCATCAGGGCTCATTAAAAGACTCTTAGGGGTAATTTAATGCTTCATTTTATCAGTACTCCTTGGTGAGTCTTCCTCCTTTAGTAAATTTCTCAATGTGGGAACATCTCAACACCCTCTTCTTTTCTATGCCCTTCTGTACTCATTTTCTAGGTGATGCCATCTAATCCGCAAACTCTGATGGTCCAGTGGCAATGTCTTTAAGATGATTCTATATTTCAATGCATTTCACATTTCTCAATGCTGTGGATCACAACAAACAAAAAAATAGTTGCCACCACCTTGGTTCTGGCACAATGACCTCCAAAGGACAGAACAGAACTGCTCCTTTCTAATCTTTCTTTTTGTGGATTATTGGCTAGAAGGTTCTAACTGACCACCTTTGCCTTAGAAACCAAATACATTAATCATCAAACCACAAAAGATTATTGAGTCAACACTCCTGATCCAGTCCATGGTCTTCACAATTACTTACTATGCATCAGAGACCTGGAGAGTGACTAAGGATGATAGGAAAAGAATCAATGCCTTTGAGTTGTGATGCTGGAGAAGAGTATTGAATATATGATGGACTGCCGGGAGAACAAACAGCTTCAGCCAGGAGAGGGTGAAACAAAGCTCCTCCTCAGGGACAAATGTTTGAAGCTTCATCTGATGTACTTTGGGCAGGTTGTCAGGAGGGACCTGTCCTTGGAGAGGGACATCACACTTGGAAGGGTGGAGGGACAGAGCAGGAGAGGAAGACCCTGAGTAAGATGAATTGCTTTGACAGGGATAATGGAAGTAGGTATGTCAGAGACAATGAGGTTGGCTTAAGATAGGGCAGGGTTCCGAGTTGATTTACATAGGGTTGCTATGAGTTGCAAGCGACTCAGTGTCACATAACAAGAAAAATCAACAGGTTATATTGCCACTAGAGATCTCCACTTGAGCATTTATGCTGTTATGGCTATGCAATTGAAATTGACTCCCACTTAACCTTCTAGTGGATTTTCAGAGGCTGTAAATTACACAGGAGACAGCTGATAGATTTGAATTCTGTGCTTTTGGATGGCAGTGTTAACTATTTATCATTAGGCAAGCAGAGCTCTCTCGAATGTAGCCTGGCAAAACCAGAACTTTTGATTCTCTACCAATGTCACACAATCTCCCAGTGTTCTCCATCTCAATAAATTACAACATTATTCACTTGCTAGCTTAAGCCACACGCTTTCAAATCATCCTTGTGTCTTTCCCCTCTCATATTCCATATCAAATTCATCAGTATGTCCTGAGAAAGCTTATCCTTCAACCAAGAGTTGTATCTAAGTTAGGGCATGTGCCCTGGGTGCTACCTGAAGGCAGAGGTCACTGATGGTTCTATTAGTCACCCTGGTTTCCACTGCCTGCTGTAGGAGATCATTCAGCAAGTAAAAAAGGAATACTTTCCTAGTGGAAATTCTTTTAAAAAGAGAGAGAAAGTAAAAGAAGGGAAAATGCTGCTAACCTAAAGATCACACCTTGGTAGTGGTTCAAATCCTCTAGTAGTTCCATGGGAGAAAGATGAGCAGCCTCCTCTCTTCCTCTCATGGAAACCCAACACAGGGTTGGTAGCAAAGAGTTGAGTTTTCTTGACATCAAGAGTTTCTTCAGCTGCTTCCTTTCCCCACATGCCTTGTTTTTATGCTTGATCCTGTCTTTATTGTCCCAAACCTCTTCCTTCACATCCTACACACATCCTAGAACCTAGCACATTCTTAACTCCCCTATGCCCTGATCATTCTCCCATCCACCCACTCACACACACTAAATACCCTCTTTTAGCCTGAAAAGTTTCTAGATATAAGGGACAATTCTTTCCAAATGAAACCTTCCACCAAATTTGTGGGAAAATAATCTGAGAAGCTAGACTATATAGAAATACAGGAAAATATTTTTTTTAGACATGGGTCTGTTTGCATTTTTATCTTAAATCTCATTATATTGTACTATCTCCACTCACAGCACCCAATCAGAGCAAAAAGTTTTGTTGCAAAAAGTCTGGGGGCTTTAGAAGCCTCCTGGCTGAAGCAGCTTCTCCCATCTTAGAGATTATGTAATTTCTTCTCCATACAGGAGCCAGGCCAGAATGATCCTAATATATTAGGTTGAATTCATCACTCCTTTGCTCAAAAGTCTGTATAGCTTTTTTGAAAGTCTCTGAGTAAGAGCTGAAGTCTTCTGTATAGTTTACAAGGCTATATCATCTGTACTTTGTTATCTTAATCTCTTGATCCTTTTTTCCTCTATCACTCCACTCTCACTATACTGGACTTTTGCTTTGTTTCAAACAAACCAGATTTGCAATAATTTCAGAGCTTTTGTGTAATATACAACTGTATCCAGCCAGACAATCATACCATGTTATCTCTCAGTTCATTTCTGGTATTTGTTCAAATACCACCTTCTCAGAGATATTTTCTTTAATCAGCATATCTAAATATCAGCCCTTCAGCATTCTCTAGTCCTAGTTTGCTTGTCTTCATGTTGTTGTTGTTGTTAAGTGTTACTAAATCATTTTCAATTCCTAGTGACCCTATGTAACAGAGCAGAACTGTCCCAAAGAGGTTTGTTTTGTTTTTTTTTATCAAGGCTGTAATTTTCACGGGAGCAAATCATTAGGTCTTTCTCCTTTGGAACCACTGGGTGGGTTTGAATTGTCAATCTTTTGCAGTTTGGTGCTTAATAGTTGGCTATTATCCAATGCTTTATTATGTGGTGTTTGGTTTGGGTTGTTTCCTATTATGGATAGATTGTAAGTTTCATGAGTGGTAGGAGCTGACTGGCCTGTTTACCATTTTAATCTCCAATACCTCAAAATTTGCTGCACAGGCACAGAGTGTTTACTTATTTTAAAGGTGGATAACTAAGTGAATTGTCTTATTGAGTCCTTCAACTTTTATAGTTGAGAAAGTTGGAAGTCAGAGAGGTAAACTTTCTCATAATCATATAGCAGGCAGAGGCACTGCCAGCTTCTTTGTTGATCACTGCACTGTACCATGCCTCAGCATTAACCATGCAGTTTCAGAGGAGTTGATACTGACTCAGGTGACTTCCAGTAGATCAGAGTTGAAGTGTTATCTACAGAATTTTTAATAACTAAATTCTCAGAAGTAGATTTCTAGATTTATCTCTGGTAGCTTAGTCCAGAGGGTTGTGCTACTAATTGAAAGGCAGCAGCTCACAGGTGGTTCAAATCTGCCAGTGGCTCCATAGGAGAAAGACTGGCACTTTCCACACATGTAATCTATACAGCCTCTGAAAACCTGCTGGAGGGTTAGCTGAGATGATTCCAACTCGATGGCAATGAGAGAGTGAGAGCTGGGTGGACTCAAGTCATTAGCCATTTGGATAGTAGCCAAGCATGATATTCACTGTCTGTAAAACACAATTATATCTTTTTAATAATTGCTGCAATCTGTCAAATGATACTTACTCAGCCAGAATGGGAGACTGACAGGATATAATGCTTTGTTTATGGAAGGCTTCATAGCTATTAATTATGCCCATTTATGTTTAAACTGCTAGTCAACAATTGTATTGTATTTGAACACTTTCTGCAGCCCAAGGTGTTTATTTGTGTATTATTATTTCCTAAAGGCTAAGAAAATGGATTTAATGCTATCAGGAACAAGGCCCATAAAGAATGACAAACTTCTCAGTTCTTCCTAGCTACAATACATTCTATAATCAATAATTTTTTCCACTTCCTTAAACTTAAACATACAGGCTTCACTTACCTTCCAGAATACTGAGCTCCACCTGTTAGGTGATCTCTGGATCTGGAAATCATCCTCATTCTCCCAGATGGAGGTGGTACAGTCCTCATAAAACTGGTGTAGGTAGGATCGGACACCATAGTGCTGGAAACCACCTTCAGTAGCAGCCTGTGCCTGCTTGGACCCGCAGATGTTGCTGCAAGAACTCATTCTTTTCAACTGGAATGACAACATCCATAAGGATCAGAATCAACGAATATATTATAGAAGAGAATTTGGTTGAATCATGTAAACCTATTTGAACAGCATTCTTTCCTTAAAATAAAAGATACTTTTAAAGTCTAGTCTTTCTTATAAGCATCTCTTCATTTTGTTTAATGAAAAAGTATTTCAAATACTCAACAACTAGTACTGGCTCTCCATCAGTGAAACAAAACACCAAATGCATAAAATAAAAATCAAACTCTAAGTAGTAGGCATATAGTCAATTGTGACTCATAGCAGCCTCATATGTGCAAATTATACTTCTCCATAGGGTTTTCAGTACTATGATCTTATAGAAGAAGATGTATAAGCCTTAATTCTGAGGTAATTCTGGAGACTCTCCAAGCATTTGTTTGGTTGTCTAATGTTTAACTGTTTCTACCACCCAAGGATAGCACACAATACGTTGTTGTTGTTTGATAGTGTGTTGAGCACGACCCAAAGCAGCCCTATGAACAAAAGGCCTGAAGCCTTTCTACTACTATCATCATTTATCAAAGTTCATTGAGTTTTCAGAAGCATGTTGCATAGGAAGTGGATGCCACACCTGCTTCCAATAGGTGACTTAAATAATGAAAAAAAAAGTAGCATGGGACACATAAGAAACAACAAAAGGCTGAGGTTTTAATTTCTTTGACAAGAAATCTTTAATGTCTTAGAATTCAGGAGTCTGAAGAGTTACGTGAGACTGCTTTACTTGCTGTAGAAGGAGGGGATCTTGAATTGATGTCTTACATTCTTAACTGGATTTCCTTATGGAATCTACATGGTGTTTCTTTTACCAGTTTGAAAGTTTGTTTTCTGATTTTATGTAAGCAGGAATTGTGATGGCTTAAGGATTAAAGAGTCAGCTGATAACCAAAAATTTGGCTATTTGAACCCACCAGCCCCTCTACTGGAGCAAGATGTGGCAATCTGCTTCTACAAAGATGAAAACTTTGGAAACAGTCTGAGACTGTTCTACTCTGTCCTACCGGGTCATTATGTGTAAGAATCAACACACTGGCAAATTGATCATATGTATCTTCTTTTGATATAAACTAATTTTCAAGTTGTATTGAAACTTTATCAAAAAGCTACTGAGCAATTCATTCTTCACACTTTATTAAGCCCAGATAGTACAGCCAACAATTTATGCCTTAATAACTCTGACACCATATATTTCAATCAGATACGGTAGGCTGAGTGGTAGAATGCAGGCTCAGACTTTCATTATTTTCTGTGAAAAGTTAAACAGATAAACTAAGACTTGAGTAGCTGCTTGGGACCTTGTCTTCTTAAGGTAGAAATTTCAACATATCCAAGTAATATATATGATGTCTGTCACTACTAAGCCAATTCTGACTTATGACAACCCCTTGTGACCACATATATGTAGATTAAAAATGTTCCACAGAGTTCTCAAGACTGACTTTTAAAATGCAGATTGTCAGGACTGTTTTCTGGGTGGGCTCAAACTACAAACTTTGGACGGGTGCTCAAAGCCCTAACTGTTGAAACCACTTCAGGATTCTAAATACCTTTCTAAACCAAATCTACAGCTGTTGACTCTGTTTGTACTAACAGCAGCCCTCCATTGTGTTTCTGAGGCTGTAAATTATAATGGAATAAGACTGCTAATCCTGCTCCCACTGCTGGTGAATTCAAACTACTGGAGGTACTTGGTGTTTAGAGAGGCACATTTACAGAATGAGTTTATAAATTCACAGTATAACACTGAATTACTGAGAAGCACTTATTTTTCCCTCTAAAAGGAAAAAAATAATCACTATTACTTAAAAGAAAAAAATTGTCTGATAATTAACTATTTCATTATAGATGATATATTAACATATATGTAACACAAGTTACTGCTCTTAGTACCATCGTTTTGCTTCTAATTAATAGCTCACCCCATGAGTAGCAGTGCAGAGCTATGGTTTTCAATAACATGTTTTGGGAGTAGATCAGCAGGTCTTTCTTCCAAACAAATAGTAATTTTGCTAAATTTTAAAAAAATTAGTCATTCCCTGTTTATTATTTGCTTTTCTGATTGACATAAAAGCATATATGTGTTGTTTTATTGTGCCATGGGGTTGATTTTGACTTAGATACCTCATGTGTTAGAACAGAACAGTACTGCCTAGCTGAGATCTTTCTGAACACAAATTGCCAGGCTCGTCTCCCGAGACACCTATGGGTAGGTTCAAATCACCAATCTTTTAGCTATTCAAAATGAAACTCATTGCCATTAGTCAGAACTGTCTTATAGCTGACTCTCCATTGGTTTTCTGAGGCTGTAAATAGCTTGGGAGGAGATTGTCCATCTTTATTCCACAGATGATGAGTTTGAACTGCCAGAGAGGCACTGTCTTTGTATTATCAGCACAACTCCCTATGGACTTTTCCACCAGAGCTCCACATCAGTTACTAGACAAGTGCAAGCCTCGTGTACCTCCCAGGGACATGTGCAGCCATAAATACTTGTTTTAATATTCCACCAGATTGTTTTCTTTGGTTGGACATAATCTTCATGTGGCAAAATGAGGAAAAATATAGAAGATCATTTTCCCATGGAACTAGTTTCTCTCTGGCTTGTATATAACCCAGGTTATATACAATGTTTATTAAACATTTAAAATTATTAAAATTATCTAGTAAGAAATAAAGGAGTAATATTTTTCTGTAAGAGGAAAAAATTAATTTACAGTTTGGTAAAGGTTTGAACAATGGGGCTGAAAATAAAGGTTAAGCTAGGTAGCTAGCATCTGCCTGTCTCCATCGCCATACATAGAATATTTTGTAAGTCCATGCCTTTAGCTAAAAATAAAGCTGTTTAGAAAATGAAGTCAAGTTAAGGAAAATATATCTCTGTTCTTAAGTGTTTCTAGTAGGTGCTACTGATAACAACTTGTTTACCGTTAATCAATGCTATATTTAATGCCTATCACCTTATGCCTTTTTCCTGTTTTCAGGGATAGCATTGTTATCAAGTAGATTCTGATTCATAGCATCTCTACAAAACAAGGTCGGACTGATCCACAGTTTCCAAGACTGTAAATCTTTATGAAAGAAGATTGTTAGATCTTTCTTCCTAGAGTGGCTGCTGAGTTTGAACTGCTGACTTTTTATTCTTCAGACAAGAGCTTTAATGACTGTAGTTCCAAAGCTCTTTGTTTCAGGTATAGCTACCATCATCTAGGAGGAAAGTATAAAACAAGCAAAAATATGATTTTTTTCACTCTAAAAAATTTCAGAAGCATATAATCTCATGAGAATATCAAGTTTCTAGAATGTACATTGTCATATTAGAGCATCAAAAACTGATGGATGAGAAGAATGTTGACCTAATTTTCATATTTTAAGCTCGAGGATGAGTACTTCTATTCATTGTTAATACAATGAGAATGATTAACAGAAGCCTATTACTAATGACATTCTCTTCTAAGATAATACAGTAAAATTTCAACCATAGTGAGGTAGGGTTAGTATTACTAATCCTGCTTTGTCACTGAAGAAACTGAGGCATAGAACATCATCTGCTAAAGGTTATACTATGAGTCAGGAAGCAGAGAGAAGGTGACAGTTAATTAAAAATAAAGTAAGTAGCAATATGGACTGAATCATGTACTTGCATAACCAGAAATAACTCAACTACATATATATTTCCATGTTTTCTATATCATCACAGCCATTAATAAGGAAAAAAGTACAAAAATAACTATGACAAGTGTTAAAAGAAATCCCTCATAGCAACAGTAACGCATTTCCCTGAAATGCTGGAAGTTGTGTTGCCTCAAGATTGAGCTAAAGCAGAGCAGGGCAGTATGACATATTGGAGTCATTTCCTATAACAGCTTGTTTTTAGCATGCGAAAATGCGACTCAGTGCAACTTTGCAAAAAAAAAAATGAGGTAGGTAATTAAAGAGATCGAAGTATCACAAAACAAATGTTTTGAATCTGAGTGATTGAAGAAAGACTCTATTGGAAGAATAGATTTTTAGTGATGTTAGATACATTCTAGGAAAGAAAAGAAATTCCCATGAGATTTCTTTTCTTTTCCAGAAATGTGCTGTGCTAACCACAAACAAATGCATTCTACTAATTATCCTGGATCTGCTAATTATTGACTATGAAATCTTAGGCAATCTTATTGGCTTCTTTAGGCTGTAGTCTCATCATCTTTTAAAATATAATAGTTATATAATGGTTCCAATTTTATGGCAATGAGTTCAGTTATTGATTAATTGCCAGAACATCTCAAATTCTTGCTTTATTATAGAGTACAACAAACTTCATTTTAAAAAACTTACACATAATTAGTTAGGTTAGTTACTTGGTACTAAATAGGCCAAATGGTTGTAGAGTTTTTATTTGCTAAAACGTTAGTCTCAGGGGTCTCAGAGTCTTAGAACATCTTCCTAAGCATATACATATTTGATATTCACCTCTAGATGAGAACAATCACTTGGAAGAACATGAGTTTTTAAGGCATGAAATGTTGCAGTGGATGTTTTGGACTCCTGTCATCTCAATAGAGAGTCCCTTACCTCATAGGAAGCTAGTAAGTTTGTGTCAATATAGGGCTTATTACACTTATGTGGAATCTTCATGGCTAATTTTCAGCTGTGTTATAATAAAAGGTGTGTGTGTAGATTTCAGAAAGTCACAAAGAAGCTGGGTAATTACTAAATTGGTCATGAAATTTTCTAAGATTAACTAGGGTTGAGATAGAAACAAAAAGTGTGAGCAGAGACTTGTATTTCAATAGTTGCAGTAGTAGAGTACATACAGTATGCTAAATGATGAATCTGTTACTCTTATTCCTCTCTTTAGAGAAAGTCTCTATATCCCAGGAAGTGCATGATAACAAGGTGTAAGTAAAAGTATTTTTCAGCACTATATTTATATTAAAACTCCTCACTGTCAACTCAGAAGAATCTCATAGATGCCCCTTCACTGTGTTTCCAGAAGCTGTAAAATCACTTGGGAGAAGATTGCCCATCATTCTTCCACAGAACAGCTGGTAGATTTGAATCACCTGCCTTTGGATTGGGAGCATATTTCTCTAACCACTAGGCCACAAAAGCTCTGAATCCACAAGTGATTCTACTGGAAAAAGATGGGTAATCTTAACTTAAGAGATTTATATCCTTGAAAACCTGTTAGAAGGTCAGCTATGAGATATTTTGGACTCAAGGGCAATCAGTTGAGTTTGCGTTTAAATTAGCCCAAGCTGGTATCCACTTCATTATGATGATCCATATCCTGCAGAGTAGAACTGAGTTCTGTAGAGTTTGCAAGGCTCTGGGATTTGGAAGCAGATTCTCAGGCCTTTCTTCTGGTCTCTAACCGGGTGCAAACTTTCACTGTTTTGGTTAGTAGCCAAGCATTTAATCTTTGGTTCTGTTCATGAGGTTGTCACATAGAGCTGCGATGAATCAGAAAGGACTCAATTCCAACTGCTTTGGTTTTGGAGATTTTAGTATTCATTTGATAAACACTCTAGTAAAGCCTTGCCACAGGCATTGCCATCACAGAAGGTCCATGAGCAAAATTCGTGTCTGATTGTCTACTTATCTATGAATAAGGAGTTGTTACTTATCTATGAATAAGGAGTTGTTTTTATCCTCCTTAAATCACATTTAGGTGTTGATAAGTGAAGATTCATGACTTATTTTTATAATCTATAGCATGTATATCACCTGCATGCAACCAAAACTTATTGCTGTCACATTGATTAAAATTCATAGTAAGACAGTAGACTCATAGGGGTCCCAAGGCTTAAATCTCTGTAGAAGCAGAAGAATGCCACTTTTCTCTCCCACAGAGTAACTGGTGAATTTGAACTGCAGATCTTCAGGTTAACAGGCAAAGGCTTACCTATTATGCCATCAGTGTCACCTTGCACATTTAGAATTTAAATGAAGGCTCCATTCTTAATAACATCACACATGCTGTCAGAATGATTATGATAATGGGCTTCAGTATGGGGTAGATCATAAGGATATTGCAGGATAAGGCAAGGTTTCAATCTTTTGTTCATAAGGCCACTTTGAGTTGTCATCAACTCAATAGCACCTAACAACAACTAGTAAAAATATTCCAGACACCTGTGAAAGAGGAATATCAAAACATGACTGTCTCTCAAATTCTCTATTGTTGATGGGTTAGTGTGAATGATGGTCTGAGCAGTCTTTTATTTTTCATTAGTCTATTCACTCAATATTTTTCAAGTACTAACTATATACTATTAGGTAATAGATTTAAAAAGATGATTGAGGCACAATTTTCCCTAAATGAGCTCTTTTATTATAATGAGAGATGGTCTTGAGAAAATCACTGCAACAAAACAGATATCATATAAGATGTATATGGAAAGTAGTGGAAATACTGTGAAAACCTTGAACAAATCCTTTATTAGGTGGGCATATACATGTTCTAGTGTTTTCTAAGTGCACAGATACACTATAGTATCAACTTGGGGGAAATCAGAATGTCATTATGGCATATCCAGTTAATTTTTAATTTTACTTTAAAAATGTTTACAGCCATGAAAACAGAACAAAGTCTTTATACGCCATTAAGCTCTAAGCAAAACACAGGCATAGAGCTTATTTGTCTTGATGGTCTCCTTGAGAGAAGAGAAGCTGAAGAGCGAGGCGCCAAAAGGATGAGTGTTTTCCCATGGCTACATGTGTGAGTCAGCTGTGAGGCCAGCCACAGTCCTTGTTCTATTTATTCTCTTAGAATTATTATTCATTTTTATCCAGCTTTTCTCTCTTTGAAAGAATTCTAAGCTAATGAGAGTGAAGTTCCCATTAGAGCCCATTTCCACAGGACCACATCTACCAGAGACAAGGTGCATTGATGATTTAAGCCATTTATCCAACACCAAATTCAAAGGTCAAATCACTTAAAAGACTCAGTCAGACTCACAGTAGATGAAGTAAAGAATAAAAGCCTGATAAGAGCTTTTTCCTTTTAAAATCTGGTGTTCTGGCATTACATAAGCATGACCTTAAAACTTACAAATGTTTTCTACCAATGGATCTTCTCAGAGAGAGTTTCCCAGCACAGTCAGGGCAGAGATGGTGGCTCTGTATTCTGAGATTTTTAAAAGTTAATAAAAATGGGTATGTGGCCACTTCATTTATGATGTTTTAAAGATTAATACTAAAAAAAAAAAGATTAATACTATATAACTATCCTATTCATTATCAATTACTTTACTCTTGAAGATTTTTCAGTAAGGTAAATGACGTCGACTTTTAATCTCTTTATTCACATGCAGATCTAGAGGAACCTATGACTCTATACATAACACAGTGTAAACCTTACCTTTGTGGTTCTCTTCTTCTTTGTTGTTTACTCCTTGACCTTTCTTTTTAAGGGCACATTCTTCAATCCTAATTAAGAAAAAAATATCAGCAATTCTGAAGCTCTGAAAAATATGGTCCAGATCAAGATTTAAATTTAAAAAATCATTTTTTATAATTTAGAATATTTTCAATATTGACAGGAACATTGATAATATCATGATAACATTGGCAAGAAACATTGAAAAATAAAACTCAACCTATTTGTTCAAGAGCAGAGACAATCCTTTTACTGGCCAGTAACTTCCTGTCAGTACCTTTCAAATGTGCTTCCATGCTAGTTTGTAAATCAGATAACAGAAGAGTATAAATGATAATGCACTATACAGATGCTATTGTTATTTTGGTATAACTCTATTCCGTGTAGTTAATAATATCAAGTAGACTGACCAATTCGTGCTTTACAAATTCTAAACACAAAGATTATTTGTTTCCTGGATAGTCTCCAATTAACCTGTTTGATGCCTATTCCATTGTATTGTAAAATAAATGAACCTTCCAGCCACTGTGTTTTCTAATATGTTTACATTCATTTTAGACTTATCAAGACTTTTGGAGCATTTTAATAATTAGATTGGCTATTACCTTATAGTATCATGTCTTACAACTTCCTGTATTCATGTTTCTTCCTATCATGACCACTTTCTTTTTCCATCTGGCTAAGAAAAGCAGGTGCCCATGTAAGATTTAATTAAAAAGCCATTTGCAGCTACAGACATATTGGTTTCCTACATTGCTGTAGTCATATGAAATAAAGTAATAACTGGGGTATATTTTTCAAAAGGTTACTAGAATTCTTTCTAATTAACAGATACCTTCCTGTTTGCATGGCAGCTTCAAAGATCGGAGGTGACTAAGCCTTGCTGAGGCCTGACACGTTATTTTCAGCATTCTCCAGGATCATGATGTAGACCGTAGGAAAAACTTATTTAAGACTTTCTTCCTTCCCCAGAAATTTTGTGATTAGTATGTGAAAGGATTTGGGGGAAGAAACAAATGATATTAGAATCTTCCATCAGAGATTTGAAAAATGAAAAGAAAATAAGCCTAGTATATGTTCCTAAAATTTCCTATACTGTCTCTATTTCTATGTCTCTTTCTTTTTCATTTTCTTTCCCTTTTCATCTGCAGTCCCCCCCCCCCCCTCCCCTTCTCTGAAGAAGTGCCCTTTCTGAAGCTGAAGAGGGCCTGGTCCTCAGTCCAATGTGCTCTCCAAGGTGCTGAAAACATTTCTGTTACAAAGCCAGAAACCAATTAAGCAAACACCAGCTGTTACACCCCAGCTTTGTTTTCCTTGAGGTCACCAGCCTTACCCTGACTCCTACTCAGCACTCCTGTATAATATTACAAGATAGTATTTCCTGAGCTCATATCAAATCATTTAAAATTCTTCAGATATGGCAAAGGAATGAGCAGGCCAATTTGGGGCTAAATGCAAAATGGAAAACAAAATCAAACCACCTTGGCCAACTCCAAAATGTACCCATCTTGTCTAATAAGGAACTTTTTTTTTTCTCTCTTAAGTTTTCATCTGTACACTCCCCACATTCTTACATAACATCTCGAACCGCCAAAAAACAGTTGGCTATCCTAATCTGTATGTTTTTACATATTTTTATATGTATGGTTTGTGAAGAGGTTTGTGCATGTGTAATAAACGTAAATGAAGGGTGTGTGTGTGTGTGCGCGCGCGCGCGTGTGTGTGCAAGGGAGAGAGGGAGAAAGAGAGAGATGAATATTTGTGTGTGAGAAAGAGAAAGGAAACAGAAAAGGAGGAGAGGAAGAACTGGTGAAAGATCTTATCAAGCACAAAAAGCTGCCCCATTGGGCTTGCTTGCCTTTACCTGCCCCCTCCGATCCCCTGACCCGTGGAGCAAGTGCAGCTAGCTAGCCGCAGATCTCTCGCTGGGGTCCCATCGCCTCCTTCGCAGCCTCCACTGCCGCCGCTGCTCCCGCCTAGCCGAGCTCAGCCCGCGCGTGATTGACACCGGGGCGTCCCTCGTGCCCGCGCAAGGAGGCCCGCGCATCCGCCGCAGCATCCGCTGCCGCCAGTGTTACTGGGTCCGCGCGGCGTGGGCGAGCAGCGAATGGGGCGGGGCTGAGAGGCATGGCCTGCCTTCTTCCTCTTGCATCCGGCACCTCCAGGTCTGGCACTTCCTCACTGAAGAAAGGCTGGTAGTTTTGGAAGACAGCTCTGGATGCCCTGCTGAAGCTCCTTTGGGTGGGGTGACTTCTATGCCTTGCTCACTGCTTTCTTCTGCTCCTCACAATGTCTGATCATACTAGGCACACATCCAAGATCAAACCAGGGTTCTGTGTATTCCAACTCTCGACGACCTCATGTGTACAGAGTGGACCTGCTCAATAGAATTGTCTTGGCTGCTGTGGTTTTGGAAGCAGATCACCAGATCTTTCTCTTGTGGCACTGCTGTGTGGATTCCATCAGCATTCATATTAGAATTTACCTGCAACTAGTATATTACATGTTATATTGCTAACTAACAGATCAATAGTTCAAATCTATAAGCTGAAAGATATGGGAGAAAGATGGACAGTCTCCTCCTGTAAAGATTACAACCTCGAGAACCCGGTGATGAGTTACTATGAGTGAAATATATTTAAAAAAACAGTGAATTTGTATGTAAATAGGGGTTTCTGAGTGGTGCAGTTATGCAACTGCTAACAGAAGGGATGAATTTCTGATATACCCAGAGATACTTTGGAAGAAAGACCTGGAAAACGACTTCCAAACACTAGCTTTGAAATTCTATTGAGGACAATTTTATTCTCAGAGGGTCACCATGAGGTAGAATTCATTTGAGAGTAACTTGAAATACATAAATATAATGACTGCTGCTACATTGGACTTTTTGAAGACCACTCAAATATGGTATTTAATCAGAATTATTAGTGAAGTATTTAATAATTATACAAGTTACGCTATACATAATATTACTACAGCTGAGATTGAGATTTTTCCGTTTGCTTGGCTCCAAAATCAACACTCTTGGCACCAGCAGCCAGGAAATTAAAAGATGCATTGCAATGGGAAAGTCTGCAGTTAGAGATACCTCTAAAGCACTGAAGAGCAACGATGTCAGGAGACTAAGATGTGCCTGATACAAGCCTTTGCAATAACTTGCTATGCATCAGAGAGCTGGACAATGACTAGGGAGGATAGAAGGAGAATTGATCTCTTTGAGCTGTGACATTGGAGAAGAGTATTGACTATACCATGGACTGCAAAGAGAACAAACAAGTTTGTCCTGGAGAGGGTGAAGCCAGGCTGCCCCTTGGAGACAAGAATTATGAAAGTTTGTCTAACATGCTTTGGACATGTTGCAAGAAAGCATCAGCTCTTGGAGAGGGACATTATGCTTGAGAGGGTGGAGGACCAGCACAGGAGAGGAAGACCCTCAATGAGATGGATTGATTCAATGACCGGGGTAATGGGGGTAGGTGTGTCAGTAAGATTGGCACAGGATAGAACAAGGTTTAGGGCTGTTGTACATAAGTGACTCAATGGCACATAAAAACAACAACAATACCAACAACAAACTCCATGTAGTCATGTGCTACATGTACTGCTGTGTGATTTACTGCCTCTGAAAACTCCCTGAAAGGTCCACTGTAGATCAGCTTTGATTCAACAACACACAACAACAATATAATAATAATAATATCTGACTGAGAACATACAGCACAATTTCCCTGAGTTTCCTTGAATGGAAGCATTTACCAGTGAATATTTTATGAATTTAATGTTCAACACACAGTCCTTGACTATCTGCCACCTAGAGCACAAAGGGTGAGGCACAAACAGGGATTATGGAGAGGAGGGATTACAAAAGGTTGTAACTCCTTGGGAGCTTCTTCTGGAATGCATTCTTTGATTAGAATGTACCTTGACTGTTTAACCTTCTAGCTCCTAACTATGGATCTCATTTAGATGTCTTTTCCCTACTCCCTCGAACATATTTAGGGTTCATCATACACACCTCGTGCTTTCCTTTATTTTTATTTGCTTTTGTTGCTCTTTAGACTTCTTTCTCCACACTTGTGTCTTCAAATTTTGGGAATTCCAAACCCAGTATGACGGCCATTTTTTCAATAAAGTGTTCTTTGATATGTTTAGGGAGCTCTGCTACACATTGAGTTCTGGTGGCTTGGTTCTAAGGATTTGTGATGCCAACCCAAAGGCATTTGGTTTGAATTCACCAGCAGTTTCACAGAACTGTTAGATGGGCAATCTCCTCCTGTGCAATTTACAGCTTCTGAATACCTGCTGAAGGATCAACAATGAGTCAGTTCTGACTTCACTGTATAGCACTGGCACACTAAATAGACTGATCTGTCTTATGATAGCCACATTATTTTTAAACTCTTGTTTTAGACTTTTCTATATATTGATTTTGCTTTGGTTTCCTAGGGCAACCATACTAACAAGCTACAGAGTGTGTGACTTATAAGAAGATAATATTATCCTACCAAAATTTTGGAGGCTACCAGGCTTAATTCAGGGTGTTAGTTAAGTCATACTGCCTCCAAAGGTTTTAGATACATTCTTGTCTCTTCTAGCTTCTGCAACACAACTTCATAGTGTTCAGGCCCTTCTCTCCATGTCTTTCTGCTCTTCTATTCTGTAAAGATGTCAATAATTGGGATTAGGATCCTCTTTAACTCCAGTATGACTCCTTGCTAATGGATAACATCTTGGAGGATTTCAATCTATCTTTTTAGACAGACTCAATCTAATCCATAATTTATTTCATCTTCCCTGATAGAGTTGAAAGCATCATGAAGAAAGGACTTGCCCACACCTAATTTGTCATTCTGCACATTAATTTGTACATCACTTTGTACCAAAGAGAGCTCCAGTGATGTGTATTCTTTGGGAGTTGTACCAAGCCAAAGACCACACCTCCATGGCAATCTGAATCCAGCAGCAGTTCTATAGGGTAAAGATAGTCAGTCTCCTCCCATGTTATTTTCAGCCTTTGAGGGGTCAGCTATGAGTAGACTCTGATTAAACAACAATAAATAAGAGAGTGAGTTTGCATTACACAAGCACTCATTTTTGGTAAGTAAATGAATTAGTTAATCAATAATGAGCCTTGAAAGGCAGATAATGTTTATATATGATGAATTAAAAAGATAGTACTATGACAGGTCTAAAGAATAAAAGGGGTCCCTGCATGGTGCAAACTGTTAATGTATTTTTGGCTGCTAAGTGAAAGGATGGCAGTTAGAGTCCACCCAGAGACATCTCAGAATAAAGGCCTAGTGATTTACTTTCAAAAAGTCACCTATTGACAAACCCTGTGGAGCAGTTCTACTCCGACACACATGATATTGTCAGGAGTCACCGCCACCTTGACTAGAACTGGAACTGGGATTGAATGAAAAGCGCAAAGTCCGTTTGCAGGTCCAGGTTCCAGGTTTGATCTTTGGAATTTTGGAACTGTGACTGTAACAATATCTTTGAGCATATTAGAGATCTTAGGGATGGTTCAGGAAAAGACAATGTTTGTCTCTGTTTTCACTAGGGTTGCTATGAGTCGTAATTAACTCTATGCCATCTAACAACCAGAAGAGGAAGTTGGAGGAGCTTTGATGGTGCAGTCCAAAGTTGCAATGCTAACCAAAAGACTGTACCTTGCCACTAGCAGCTCTGCATGAGAAACATGAGAAACTTCTTCCCATTGTGATTTATAGCCTCAGTAACATGTTGAGGGTCATTATGAGTTAGAACCAACTTGATGATTTGTGAGAACATGAGACAAGAATAAGTTGATATAGAGATGGTGACAGGATAGATTGTAGTTAAATCACTCAATTGAAGAGAACTAGAGCCTCTGACCACTGGGCTTTTAACAAATATTTATACAAATAAGGTTTGTGTTATGTGGGTTTTGTAAGTCACAATTCCTTTGCATATTCTGTGTGTATTGCATGTGTTTATGCTATTTCTTTGAGTGTATTATATGGGGAGAAAAACCCCTACTGTTCCTTCTGGGATGTCTGCAGCCAGGTCAGTGTCTGCCGGTCTTGGTGAGCAGCCTGTCCAAGTCAAGGCCACAATGTTCCATATCAGCAATAGCTTGTGATTAGTATTCTTTCTGTGTTCCCGGACAGAACAGATGTCTGTCTGCTTTTTTATGCTTAATGATGATGGCAGGTTCCCAACCATCAAGATCCAATTTTACATTTTCAGAAACACTGTGTCTGAGAAGTTCTTTTTTTTCTGATTGTAAAGAGAAGTACATTTCTGCAGGTCTTGAGGCCCAGCCTTCCCTTTGCAGAAGAAATTTTGACCTAGAGATTAGTATGTGTAGAAGAATACAAAAAGTAGGATAGGCAGCAACATCTAGCCTGGATCAAGAAGAGGAGGTGATTGAAGGAAGGACTGGAAGATTTCTCCCTAAATGCATTTGCTTCTCTGTACTCTCTTCAAGATTGTTATTATGACAGGCCTAAAGGTGAAGGAGATTTCTATTTCTCTCACATATGAGGTCAAGTTCTAAATACTCTGTGTGTCAGGGAATAACTATCTTGCAGAATTTCCTAGGCTGTAATCTTTACAAGATTTTGCTGTGGAGAGCTGGATAGGTTTGAACCACAACTTTTCAGGTAGCAACTGAGTGCTTAACAGTTGTATTATTATAATTTTACTCATCTATAAATGCACAATTACAAAAGGATATTTTACATTTGAAATAGTTTCTCTTTAAAATTTGCTTATTGGGAGGGAGGTATTAGTTGATGCATTATTGTTATTGTTGTTAGGTGCCATTAAGTTGATTATTCATAGTGACCATCTGAACAACAAATCTGAATCTTATCCTGTCCGATGACCCATAACAGACACCCTAGAAGGTTTTCTGAGACGAAATTATTTGAGAGGAGATTGCCTGTTTGGTTTTTTGGGTTTTTTTTTGTTTGGGTTTTTTTTTTTTTAGCAACATCTGTTGGATTGAATCGTA